GAATTTTATATTATTATTTACCCTGAGATGCATAAAGTCCTCCTGTTCTCCACTAACTCTAGTTATAAATCATAAAAGGCTATTCTATTTGACACCAAGAGTCAAACATCATTAGAAGCTGGGCCAATCTAATTTTTCATCTTTTTAAAATCCTATATATGGCCTTGAAGATAGATTTTATGAAGCAAAGAGAAAAGAGTGTTATTTTCAAATCCGTTTTTTCAACCATGTGAGTGAAACAAGGACTGTGGCTTCCCACCAATCTCTGTCCAATAAGTTTTCTTTAGATTAGTAACCACTTTAAACCTAATGAGTTTAAAACACAAAATATTAAACAATAACAAAAAAGCCAGACACAAAAATCTGAAATGTACTTTTTAAGAGAAAAATGACATGCACAAAATATCAAGTCCTTTGATCACAGATGAAAATGTTAAACATGAGCAGAAAGATTTTGTAGGAGACAATAATGTAAAAGAGAAGACAAAGAAGAAAGAGTTGTAAGAGCCAAATCTATATATCAATAATTCAAAAAAACAAAACTCTAGGGCCTTTATACATGATTGAAAACCATATTAGCCTCATTTATCCTTCTCTGCATATTTTACAAAATAAGTCAGAATCTAGTTTCCACCTAAAGTTAAGGCAGTGGTATTTGAGAAGAACCAAACTTTGTACAGCAAAGTGCTTAACATTCTCTGTCTTTATCCTACAGATTCATTTCTTATGAGCAACATAACTCCATGTCACCAAGTTATGCTTCTGCCACTTAAAATATCAAATTCCAATAATGAAGATTTTGGAGTATTATCCTTATAATGTCTCATGATGATGTGAAGATACATACTAATTAAAAGTGGAATAAAAAGCAAAAATAAAGAAATAGCATATCAAAGAGTATTATATAAAGAGCCTCATAAGCACCATGTACTCCATATTCAGCTATGTGCCACATACTCTACGTCATCAGATGATTACATTCAATGGCATTACCATATTTCCAAAGTCTCTGTCATTAAGTCCAAAGCACTCTGCCAAAGCATTAAAAAGACAATTATTCTTCACTGAACATGTTCAGAGAGAAATAATTAACTTTTTAAAGTATATTATAAATATGCATTTTTTCTATGTGTATACTTTCATTTAAAAACTCAAAAATTATGTCTATATAACATCATGTTGCTGAAGAATTTTTATGTAATTATTCAAGTGATTTTTCTTGTTCTACACAGATTTTCTTCTGAAAATATATCATTATCATATTAAATTATAAGTGCTTCATATATAGTCATACTTAGTTGTCTGATACACACTATTGATATATCTATTAAATCTGAAAAATGATAAATATTTAGAATTCATAGCACAAAAATATAGACATATAGATATGCTTTTTATCTTTGCAACTTAAAATAAAATTAAATTTTCCCTTTTCATTCAGTTTATATGAAAATAGTCACTACAACCAAATCAGCTAATAAATATCAAAATATCATTTATCACTGCATTTATTCAATTGCTAACAATAATATCTAGTAATATAAGTAGCATATGAATGCTGTTAAGAGTTTTTCAGTTTATACCAATTAGTGTCACCAGTTTCTTCACCAAATCATTCCAAACATAATTTGAGGAGAATCAAACCAAAGGATTATCACAAATATAAAATTAGTCTCTCTACATATCAGATAAAAACCAAGTAAGAATTGCATATGTGTATATGTGTGTGTGTATGTGTATGTGTGTATATCAGTATGTGTGCTAATTAAGGGGAGTATTTTCAATATTGGAAAAATCATAGAATTCATGTCATACCTGTGCTCCATAGATATATTTATCCAACATTTTGCCTCCTATTGTCTGCCCTCCTATATCCCAAACTTGAAGAGTAACATTCAGGTTTCCTAGAATGTAAAAATAAAAATACAAAAAAAAAAGTTAAGTAGCAATATAATAACTGAACACAGTTTCACAGAACATTAAGTCACAATGACAAACTCTGAACCCAATTTGTCTTTATTCTGCAGGCTCATATGATCAGATGTTTGGAATTGTGAATATAATGTTGTCAAAACCATAGTAGGGAATCTACATTGATCCTTTCATTTCATTTCCATGGAACCACATTTACAATCACCTTGGAACCACATGGAACCACATTTACAATCACCAAAACAAAAGAAAATAAAGTAAGCTTTAACTTATAAACTTAATGCCTTAAATTTTTTCTCTTAGAGACTACAACAATAAAGCACATGTGCGTGGAGTAAGAAATACACTTTAAAAATAAAAATTGAAGCTTTATATATTCATCCACCCAATTGTACGTATGAATTTTGATGTAGGTTCTAAACTCTATGGGTTCTAAAACTTAGAGAATAATAGCAGACTACAAAAATGCACTCATAATTTCAACTCAAATGAATTAATCTTTTTTAAATTTGAATGTCAGCTATTATATGTGATGGCAAACATAATTTAAAAAGTACATGTTTTCAAATGCAACCCATAAAATACAAACACATTTGATAGCCCTGTTCAGAAATAATGAAGGAGACATACCAAGTATATCACTAAATATTGTGATGCATTCGTACCTGTTCAAAGCATTTCCTTTGAAACAAATTATATGTGCTTCCAAGCCTTCATAAAATAATGTAACTATTAATAATCTTCTTCCTCATACAAGCATTATAAAAGCATTCTAAAACACTAAAAGGAAATCTTTAAAACTCTTTTGTGCATTTTGCAAAATATTTGGTTGTTATAAAAATTTGAGATAAGTTATTCTCTCTTATCAATGCAACTAATGAATGAGCTACAAGAGGCAAGGAGCATGTCTGATATGCTTTTTAGTTTAACATTTCAAACTTTCTCATAAAATTATGTAGTTGTCTCCAAAGTTTCAATTAGCAGTTTCTCAATGATTTGCAAATCAAAAAAATTCAAAATAAAAACTTAGAAACTGAAAAAATGTCTCACTTCAAAAACAAAAAGCAATTATAAGACATAAATTTATAAACCAATGTAAAACAGAAAAATCAGAGAACGTTAGTCACATCATTTAACTACCCAACTGAAAAGAAAGTAAGACACTGGATTAACCAGCACAGTTTTACCCTTAACTCTAAATTTTTGTGGGTTTGTATTACAATCTCTCCATTATTTAAACATAGGTCTGTTCCATATACCATGCAGAGGATTTCCATGAGGAACTTCCATTAGCATTAATGAGAGTTACTGAAGTTTATCACCCGTCATCATTCCCACAGACATATACTTTCAACGCTCACAGAGTAATGACCAAAATGTTCTTAAAGCCCCGTGAATACGAAAATCAAAATGTCACAGACTAAGATTTGTCCAACATCTTGTATAAACCCAATTTCTTAAAAATCTAAATTTTTTGAGATTCAAAGCTAAAATCATTCTCCTATAATGCCATCCTAAATTAAGCAGGTAAGAAAGGGCTAGCCGTTACTAGAGGTATATAAAATAGTATCAGATGCCCCTCCTGGATGGGCAGTAGTCTATTCATTTTACTTGCACAACTCTTTGCAGTCATTTGTCTATTTGACGGTGCTTAACAATATTAACTTTCATAGAGTAAGATTTCAGGCAATAATTTAATAATTATTAAAAGGTATTTATTCCCATTTCTTCAAGGTCAATAATCCCTATCACTTAACTTTGCATCAAGAAAATTTTTTTTCTTTCCTTTTCTTTCTTTAAGTTCTGACACTTAGATCCTACCTGAATTAGGTATTGTGAACACTGCAACTATAACTTTCAGAACATGATCTTCATTATGTGTTTCCAAATTCTGACTACAATCATTTCAAGACTTTAAATCATCTGTTCAATTGTCTCCCATCTAAGAAGTTCATATTCATGTGTTAAGGGTACTTTTTAAATCCATACCTTTCCCAATAAACACTCGTTATTGTTATTTGCTTGTTTTTTTAAAATATATAAATTTTAGTGACTCAGAAATAAAAACAGCTATGCACTATTGATAATCCACTAATACAGAATGCTAGAAAAAAATTACTATCATTATAGCTTCAACAAATAATATTAATTTCATGCTGTTTCATATATCTAGAAATATATTTTCTAACTTCCACATTTGAAATATAGGCTTATTAACACATAAAAATAAAAATAAAATGTGGATTCCCTATTTGAGGAACAAAATCACATAAAAGATATGATACAAATCAATATTAATTTTAATTTTTACAGGCATAAACATATGAAGTCTCCTAATATGTTTTCAAGATAACATACCTATAAAGCTATATAAGAATATTCAAATAAACAATATTATGAATTTTTTTAAATCAAGAATCCATCTAATACAAATTTCTGTCTAATAAAGAACATTAAAGAAATTGTCAGAAATCTAATCCCAAATGCAAAATGCTACAAAATTCCTGCTCCTCTGTAAGAAATGGCATGTAACTAGAGAAAAAAATAAAATAAATGAGGTGACAAAACACAGGTAAGTTGCTTTTGGTATGAATCAAAGCCACCAAGAGGATTCAACAGTGACCCTGTAAAAGTACACTTGGTGCCTTGGTTAACCTTACTTAAAGTGCTGCATAGTCAAGATGGAACTAAAAACACAAGTCTGCCCACTTCTTGTACTAAAGACTCAGAAATCCTTTTCACAGTAGAACGCTGTTTACTGGACTGTACCCACAAGCTTCCTGAAAGTATTTTGACTAAGGCTCTTAAGAAGCTCTATCAGCAGAATCTCTGACTAACAGATACACTATTTTAAGCAGTAAAATCTGCACAGTGGCTGCAGCCAGACTATACAGCATACCGGATCATGAAATATACTAAAATGGATGAGTATTTGCAAAGTAATGACCTTGAAAACCTGCATGAAGAGAATGTGAATAGATGAACAAGAGGTTTACATCCCTAATAATCTGACTGGTCAGAAGACTTACAAGACTACTAACAAATACTAAATTCACCTACTATGATGCTTCACTATAAATTCAATAATGCTGCCTGTAATGTTTTATTTAGCAAGTGATACCAATATTAATCATCCTACATTTGATACTTACAATGAATTAAAATTAGGATTAAAGGATATAAAGGATATACTATAAACCTTGTAATTTATTCACCTCACTTCTTAATATACCTACTAATTAGATAAAAAACAAGATACCTTAAAACAATTTTTTCCTTCTGAAATTTTGACTATAATTTTGAGTCTTCTGTAGCATAAAACCAAATGCTTTTAAAAAATATACAGCTTTTTTCCTGGAACTCTGCCCATCAAAATAAAAACTTAATCAGAAAAATTAAAATGTACATTAAGAATATACATGTCCTGATGTCATTTTTTTAACTTAAATACTAAGTCTAAAATATTATACTGTAAATTTGGATTCCAAGAATCTCAATTTTTTTTTTTTTTTTACAAAGTAATCAAAATTTTAAAATTGGTAGTACTCTGCGACAGGTCAGAAATCATCACATACATTCACATGTATAAAATGTCTAAAATCAGTCTTTGTTTTTAATATTTGAGTAGGTGCTTGTTCCTTTATTTAAGCCTTTCAACTAAAAAATAAGAAAAATGAAAACCAATGAGACAAAAAATTGGTGCTTCTGCCAATTAAGCATCAAAACAAAACAGCTAATAACTAAATACTACTTTCAGGCTCTCTGTGTATAACAATTGCATCTCTAAAAAAATTATTGCTGTAAAAATAAGTTTTCAGCATATATATTATATGATTTGTACATGTATTCTGCTAGTAACTGCTGTAAATATTCTGAATGTAGCAATGATTATCCATAAGGGTGAGAATAAAACTGAAATGAGATTTGCAGTTTTGAATACATTAAAAGAAAATACACATGAAACAAAATACACATGTTTCTCATTAAACCTCTTGCTAAACAATAACTTACTAACGTAAAAATTGGAATTTTTTTGTCATGCTGTATCTCCTAATCTATTTTTCTTTGGTAGCCAAGTACAAGCAATCACAACATATAACAGAGCATATTACTAATGAGATATGAAGAATACCTCCAATTACCAAGACTTTTCATTAGCTGCTCGAAAACTTTCATTTGGAGTTGTCTGATAGATGGAGTGTTTCAGAGCTTAACATATTTCAATAATATTGGAATTTATTAAACTCCTTCCCACTACATCACTCACGTTCCAGTATATGAATCTGACATTACATTACCCTTGCAACCCTTTTATTCAAATGTGTTTCCTCATAGAGGAGAGGGATGGACAGCTTTTAAAGTCAATCAAGATAAACTGCCTTTAATAAAATATTTTAAACACATAATTTAACCATTGAAATTGAATGGATAGAGCATTTTAAAGCCCCAATTGTTCAGAAACTAACTTAAAACATAAACCACTCTTTTTTGTTGTTATTATTTCCCTGTATTTCCCCCAAAATGTGCTGCAACTGGCATCTAAATAGTTTCTTTGCATGGTGAACTGAAACATCTTGAATGCTCAAACTGTATTTTTATGAGTGCCTAGGGACCCTAAATTTTAGTGGTCTATTAAATGCCAGCAATTTCATGCTGCCTTGCATAAAACAGCATTCACATATTAGAGCACAGTAGTTCCATAGCTACATTATACTTCTGTTCCAACATTTAAACAAAAAACTGAAGCAGAAGTGAAACAAAATAATATTTTAAAAAATAATCCTTCCCAATCTTTTCACATTTAGTTAATATAATATCTGTTGACAAATACATGGCATTTAATTTTTGAAAAGCTTTTTAGAATTTTATAAGCAACTATTGTTTATTCTCGAAAAATGTACAGTAGCCAAAACCAGTGAGGGGGTGGGGGAGTGTAAAAGCTTTTTCTCATACCCGTGGACGATATGTCTTCACAGTAGATTGTGATGAAAGTTAACCTCTCTAAGATAAATTTACTGGTTACATATATTTTCATGTAGAAGAGCCCCAAAATTTACTTTGCACATTTCTGCCTTATGCCACTAATTGTAAGATTTTTACAATCTTCTATGTCAAGACTTTTTAGTCTCTTACCTGGCAATGTTATCCTTCTCAAAAAGAAATCCAGTCCTATAGTTTGTTTGTACTGTTTCCCAAAAGTTTCTTGAGCAAAACACGTAGCTAAGGAGGTCTAAAAAATTGATGCACAGAATATCAAAATTAATTTCTTTGTTTAAGAAATGTAAACATAAGACCACTACTAAATCTTATTAAGTAATCTTAACATTTATACTGCAATTGATCCAACAAGCAACTTTAAGAAGTTCTAATCAGTTACAAGGGTAGGAGGGACTTGATACCACCAGGTAAATTTCACTTGCCAGCAGCTATCAGTGGGGACACCAGACTAATCAGTTAGATCTCTTTAATCCCCTGATTGTCAAGCTCCTCCTCCTTGCTGGAAATTAGAATTTGATAATTATCAACAGAAAAAATGAAAACAACATAATTAAAGATCAGAACCTTATACATAAGTTCAATAAAAATTTCAGAGAACACTAATAAGTTTCATTTCTGAGGTTAAATATTCTGAGGGTAGCTGTATCCTCAGTTAATAATAATAAGCACTAATTAAGGAAGGGAAAACCTGCTTACAGAATTTCTTTTCTTTTGTCCCACAAGAGAAGCAACTTAAGTATCTAATTTTTCTCTACATTAAAGATGTTAAGTGAAAATTATTTTATAGAATGACTGTGATAATAAGCATCTTTTAAATAAAGAAGTTGGTATTTTTAAGATTAATATAAAGCAGGCCCAATAAATATTTTCTATCCAAGAACCATAATACTAAGAAGTCACGAGATATTATAACCACAACAGATATACATTTACTGTTTTTTAATAACAATTCAAAAACTCTGGATCTTACTTTGAGAGTACTATTTCTTATCAAAGCAAAATAATCATTAATCATTCTGGTAACTAAAATAACTCAATAACTCAAAGACTTTTTAAACATTTTAAATTCACTATTCTTATTTGTCAACTTCCCCCCAAAAAAGAGAAAGGCAGCTTCATTAAACTTTTATGTTCTTCAAGATAGACTCCCAAAGTTAGGAGGAAATAACCCTTTTTTAATTTTAAAAGTTAAAATTAGATGTCAACTCTTAATGAAAACTAAGATAAAATTTCCAGGATAGCTTAGTATAGTTAATTTTGACATAAGTACAGCAGTACAAAAGAACACATGGCCAAATTTCAATTCCTTTTAACAAGACGATCTAAAATTCCTTTACACCAAACCATATTTTTCACACTACATGTTACATCCTTGAAGCATGTAACAATATCCTTGAAGCATGTAACAATAGCAAAACTGAGAGATAAGAATTAAAAAGGTAAATATCTCTTTTTAAAGATTTCTGTTCTTCATTTACCTTAATTATGCCATTGAGCTTGTCTAACTTAGAGCACAAAATCATCTGTGAAAAGGTTCAGAATTTTAGAGAGAAGTAACTATCACTACATATACTATTACAGGTATTTCAAAATGTTTAATGTACGGATGACTGAAACACTTAAAAGTCAAAGACAAATTGAGGGCACATGTAACATCATCATCATGTCATTTAAGATAATTTTTCACTCTCATTAAAGATTCTCAGAGTTCAATATTTTTATATTTAGGAATATTCAGAAAAATGCTAAGTAAGGTTCTTTTCTTGGAAAAAGGACGTCTAGGTTTTAACAGCCCTGCCCTCGCAGTTCTGAGGCAAACATAAAGCTACGATTTTCAATTGAAATAGAGTATAAAGTATCAAAAGTATAGGTCATTGGATCACACAGAGTATTAACATAAGTTCTTATTATACTATCTCCTGACATCTCGCTAAAAAATTAAACAGAGAATTAACAGAATCGGTGGGGGCACTTCCTCTTCAATAATCTTAGATTTCATGCCATCTTTCACATTCAATGATTTCTCACAAGCCACTGTATAAATTCCCTTCTTAAACAACTATACGTATGAAGTGAACAACCAGCTACCATATCTGAAATATCTGTATTTGATTCTTTATACAACCATACTACATTTACCAGCAATGAAAAGATAACGAAATAGAATATTCTGCCTCAAAAAAACTTGAAAAAAATGTGTAATAAAAGCAAAAGTATGAAGCACAACAGCAAAGAAAGAGAAACACATGTTACTAGAGGGAGGAGCTAAATTTCTCTTGAAGAAACTGTTAGTGGTCATCTCAATACTCTATTGCTTCTATCAGTGTGTACAAAAATGCCAGAGTTAGAACCAGTAGGAAAACACTAAAACCAGAACAAATGGCCAAGAGTTAACTCAGGATACAAACAATGATAAAAGAGAGGCTCAATTCATAGAAAAGGACAGTAAAGGAAATAATGGGAATGTTTGTAGCTGCCAATAATTTGAGAGCTGAATAAGGTATGGAGAAAAAAAATGCGGGGTATAAGAATAATGAAAGATTAGGTGTCAGATGCTTATGTCAGGAAATTTCTGGCAGAGAAAACTGTTACAGTTTTAAAATAGATTATTTTGTCAAGATGACGAAGACTTAAGTCAGGGCACCATTAAAAAATAGCACTGCTATTCTTTGAAGCAGATAGTCCTAATTCAACAATATGGAAGTGAAAAAATTATGCTTTGCCCTACACCAAGGCAGAATTTTAAACAGAGATGAAAAACCATAATTATTCATGCTAAATAAGCAACAAGGGGAAAACACGTATGATAGATTAAATAAAAAACTTAGATACAAACTTATAAACAAATATCAACTGAGTGATACAAGTACGATAGATAAATATTGGAAGAAAAATGAACAAAAGTTTAAAAAATTATAATAACATGTAGAGTAACAGGCAATTTGTGTGTCTTTTTATAAATGTATTATGTTACAGTCATTATGATTTTAAATGCAAAATAAATTTGGTTGTGCAATAAGATTTTGAAAAATCAGGTGGCCTTCAAAAAAAAACCTAAATGATAAGAAAACTATAAAAATCTAATTTAAAATTTTTATTGAATTAAATTGTCAGAAACAATGGTGATTTACTCATAACAACTCAATCATTAAAAAAATTTAAGTATAAAAATCCATATACTTTATAAAGAAAAACGACTCCGAGTTCTCTTTTTCCCACAAAATGTTTAAACGTAATCAGAGCACATTAAATTGTTTTCCTCATTAATAAAAATCGATAACAAAGTATCCAGGAAGACAAGAAAGAAATACACAGAATACTCCAAATTTTGCATGTGAATGACATCTTTCCCAGGGGCCCTCAAATGTCAGAACCAAACTCAAAAGTCAGAACCAAAGGCAGGAGCAGCTGTTCAATGCCAACTGCCAGGGAGGATGCAAAGAAAGTCGTCACCACAGAAACCAGGGTCCAAACTACACCAGCAACACGGAAATGTGAAGTTGAGAACAGGAAACTGGCAGCAATAAGAACCTACATTTCTGAAGAGTATGGTTGGGAAAAGGGAGAGGAGTAGAAAGAAAACAAACTTTAGCAACATTCCCAGGAAGAGTTTTGGCACCTTTGACAGAAGCACAGGTATGAAGGCATCCCAAGCAGAGGCTCTTCACTTTATTTGGGGGAAACGGGTCATAGACCCTCTGAGATCTTACGTTCCTTCTTCCCAAAGCAAGTACCCGGCAACGTTTACTTCATTTCAGGAGTTCCACAACCTTGGGTTAAGAAACCCTGCTGAGGAGTTAATGGGGACTGACTAGCTGCCTGACATTCTCACGCACCCATTCATTCAACCAGCCCTCACGTGGTGGGGCTAGACTTTAAGGCAGGGATTCTCTCTCTTATGCTGGCAGCTCTACCTCCTCATCCAGACCATAAGAAGAGTTCAACAAACATTTGTTGAATGAATGCTTGTACGGACAGGTGCTATGCTGGGAACAGAGATGATGAACAGCTATAATACTTAAAACAGCAACTAACGTTTATTGAGTGCACACTGTGTTCTAAAAGTTTTATATGTATTTTCACATTTAATGTGTATTTTCACATTTCTCCCTTCGCGGTGGCCCCTATCAATAGCCATCTTACAGATGAAGCACAAACAGGTTAACAATTTGCCCTCTAATCACCCATCCAGTAAGTGACGGTGCCCCAATTCTCACCCAGGGAATCTGATTCCAGAGCCAACCTCTTGGGAGCTCACAGTACAGTGGAGGCATCAGAAACGGGGATGGGGAGGGAGGGAGGAGCAAAGTGTGACCCGGTCTACAAGTAAAAGGAGGTAGTAAGATGCCCCGGCAGATCCTTGCCAGTCCTGAGAGGCGAGAAGCTGCAAAGCTGCCCAGGGAGGCGCGATGCTGGCCTGAATCTTGAAGGAGTTCGCAATGTCCAGGCAGGGAGTTGGGAAGTGACTTTTTTTTAAGGGGGCGCTGGATAGCTCTCGTCGGGTTTCACCCAGCGCCCACTTCGTGTCCGGCCCCGGTCCTAACCAGACGGGCCCGGGCCTAGAGGCCCCAGGGCTCGGGGTAATGAGGCGACGCCGGGAGGCGGGGAAGAGGCTGGGGGGCGCCGGGGCCGCGCCGGGGTTCCTGCCGGCGTGGGACGGCGGGGCCGCTTGAGGACTGACCTTCCCGGAGGTGCCGTCCCCTAGCACGACGATTTTCAGTTGCCGGTCCTGGCTCTCCTCCTCAGAGTCCGACATGGTGCCCCGGGAACCAGGCCCGCCCCCCGAGGTGGAGTGAGGAAGGGAAGGAGGAGGCCTCCAGGGGCGGGGGAGAGGAGGAAGGGAAGCAGTGGAGGCAGGACCCCCCGCCCCGGTGTCTCAGCAGCCGCTGGGGGGATTGGAGAGAATTACTCGCCGGACGCCATCTTGCCCTCCTCCCCACCCCCCCTGTTCCGGTCCCGCCCCCTGCGCGTCACGTCGGGCGCGCGCCCCCGTCTCTGCACCAACCCGCGACGACCGCGGGGCTCCCTAGCGAACCGCACCACTCGCAGGCCTGGGCCGAGGGGAACGTTCGAGCGGGAGAGAAGAGCCGCTGTGCTCTTTGCAGAGATGGAAATAGAAGTGTATTTTTCAGATTACGTGGAAAAAAATGGGAGCAGAGTAGCTCGTAGGCGTTCTATCAAATTCCCTTGTTTCCCTCCCCACTTGATAAGGTCCCTGACGTGAATGGTTTAGCCCGAGGGGGGCGGATGAGGGACGCCTGGGCTGCGCACCACGGTTGCCATGGAAGCTAGGAGTCCGCGGAGAGGCGGCGGGGCGGCCTGTGTCTGAGCACCCTAGACGTGGGTTGCCGGGCGGAGCGCTCAGGGAAGAGGCCCCTGGGGTTGATGCGGGCTCGGGAGGTCGCGTGCCGGAAGAACACATCGGGGAGTAGGGCGCGACCGGCCTGAGAAGCGGGCGGCTAAGGGCAGAGGCTGCAGCAGCGGCCGTGAGCGGGATGGAGCTATGGCGCTGCCTATTTTGGCGTCTCAGACTCTCGGTTTCTCGTTCATTCATCAAGCATGACCGAGGGCTAACCCCGTAGCACTTGGACCCTAGGACAGCAGCTCTCAAAGTGGGGTCCGGGGATAAAGTCAAAACAATTTTGATAATAATACACTTTCTTTGCCTTTTTCACATTCATTCTCTCACACGTTTACAGTTCTCCGGAGAATACACGTAGTGTATGACGTCATCACCGTGGCAGCTAAGGGGGCGTGTGCTTGTTACTCTGGTTTTAAACATTTCTCACTTTTAATTTCAATGCAGTAAAGATAGGTATAACCCACATAAACATAAGCTCTTTGGATTCCACGGTAATTCTTAAGTTTATGAAGGGACCCGGAGTCCGAAAAATTTGAGAACTGCAGCCCTGAATGGTCTCAGTCCAAGAGGGTGAGTAAATGGCATAACTGAAAATTACAATATAGTGAGATAAATTCTACAATAATAATGCAAGCCTACTATGTTTGTCTTGTTAATCACTTTACGTGTATTATTACCTTTACTCCTCATAGGAATCCTATAAAGTAGGTAGAATTATACCCATTGTACAGATGAGGAAACTTAAGTTGCAGGAAGCTTAGCTCATGGGCAGTGGTCCTGGAGAGAATACAGGAATTAGAATTGGAAAGCAGGACGGTATAAAGAAATGTCCAGCCCTGGAGGCAGCACTGGAGTTGTATTCACAGATCTGCACTTCCTAGATATGTGCCCCTGAGCCACAATTTCCTCATCTGTAAAGTAGACTACCTCCTCTGTAGGGTTGAGAATTAAATGAAATAATCAGTATAAAGTAGCATAGAGATAATGATGCCTGGCGTGTAGTAAACACTCAGTATTAACCAGTGTGAGTGTCACCCTCATCATCATCATTAAAGCTTGGTCCATGTTGGAAGCACCACTACTTTCTAGCCATGTTACCTTAGACAAGTGTCTTATGTAGACCCTCGTTCTCCTCATCTGCAGATATGTCTGGTCCACAATAAAAGGTAACTAGTTAGTATTAGTACCCAGTTCTTTCCCCACTCTCCCACTGCTACTGCCACCACCAACTTCCTAATCACTGGATTTGTTAATGAAAATCAGAAGAAAGAGGGTATGTGAAAGGTTTTGTAAAGTACTTTATAATTGTTGGTTTGAGGAATCTGCTTTTAGTGAGGACAGACTTAACCCCTTCTTGTCCATGAGGAAAGTTAAAATGCCAGAAATTTGCTTTTCCACCCTTCCTTGATGGAGATGGCTATGTGATCCACCTGACTAATGAGATAGAAGACAGTGTCCCTTGGGATACATTTGGAAAAGATATCCCCCCAACCCTACCCCACCAGATTTAAAAAAAAAAAAAAAAAGGAAAACAGGAGAGATGCAGAAGAGCCTCCCTCCTCCCTTCCCTTGCTTTCATTGTTGGGTGAGAATCGGATATTTGGAACTACCACAGCTTCTTCAGCCTATCATCTAGGCTTCTTTTTATGGGAAATAATACTAAGGCACTGTAGTGATGTATTCTATTACTTGCAAACAAAAACATCCCAACTGGCACAACTATACTATTTTGGCCAAAATATATATTCAGCTAAAGTCATAGGACTGATTTTCATGTGGAATTATATGAAGGGAAATCTAGAAGAAAACTTCCCATTTTCTAATCATCAGCTTCCAAGATGACTGCTCTGATGGAGAGACAACTTTTATTTAGATATGGATGTATCACTGGGATGGTATTGCTATATAAAACAAAAAGTCAGTTGCATTATTTAAGTGACCATATTTTACACATATATGGCAAGTTTCTGGGTTTAAAATTAGAATTTGAAGACTTAGAGCCATTTTTGAAAATTAAAAAGAAAAGAAAATCTGCCTCTGCATAGAGGACCATATTAATATTGAGAGCTTCCAGTGTGGTACTTTAACATTCTAAAGAGAAATAGAGCCGATCCACAGAAAAGGAAATGTCTGTGTAGAGTCTCAGGTACAATGCCCATAGACGAGAAGAATGGTTTTCTGTGGTTTTAAAACAGATAAACAAAAGGTTTAGAAAAGAATTCTAGACATTTCAAGAAACTAGGCTTCTATAGAACCCTAATTTTAAAATATCTTCCCTAGCATCCCTAACAGATAATCATCCAAATTTTATTTGAATACATCCATATTCAAGGAGTTTATTCCTTCATGAAGCAACCTGGACTATGATGGATGGATAGGCTTGGTCATTAGAATATTCTCTCTGATGATAAGCCAAAGTTTATCACTATAAATTCCAGCTAATGGTGTTAGGCATGTCCTCTGGAGTAAAACAAAATCTCCGCATTCTATAGGAAGATGTTCAAAGTGATTCATTAATTAGTGATTAATGTGACAAATGTTTAATGAATGCCTATTTTGTATTAGGATTCTTATTCACAACTTTTCTAAGCAGTGATGCACAAAAGTGAACAAAACAAGGGCTCTGCTCCTATGGAATTTACAAACTGGTAGAGAGGTCTAGTAAGCTGAATAATAGCCATGCAGAGATATCAGGTCCTAATCATTGGAATCTGTAAATGTTACTTTGTTTTTTTATTTTTATTTTTTAAAAAGCATCTTTCTGATGTGATTAAGCTTCTGGAGATGGAGAGACTATCCTGAATTATCTGAATAAACCCTGAATGCAATCACATGTATCCTTATTAGAGAGAAGTAGAAGGCGATTTGGCCCAGACAGAAAAGGAGAAGGCAATATAAACATAGAAACAGAGACTACAGTGAGGCAGCCGTAAGCCAAAAATGCTGGCAGCCACTAGTAGCTGGAAAAGGCAAAACAAATTCTCTCCTGGAGCTTTTGGAGGGAGCACAACCCTACTGACTCCTTGATTTCAGTCTAGTGACATTGGTTTAGGACTTCTGTCCTCCAGAACTGTGAGAAAATAAATTTATGTTGTTTTAAGCTACCAAGTTTATGGTAATTTGTTACAACAGCCACAGAAAACTAATATAAGAGATCTTCAAAAAGTTCACAGAAAGTGCATATTATGAAAATCTATGCATGGATTTCAAAACTTTTTTTGCACCAAAATAACTTATAGTAACTTGTTATTACATGGCTGAACAGGATCTAGTTTGAGGTGCAAAGAAGCCCAAGTCATCGGTTTAAAAGGAACCCCTATCAGAACAACATGAATTCTACTGAAGTTGAAACAAGGACAAATATCAAACTGATGGTGAAGCTTAAATGGAAGGATGGTGAAATCACTGCAACGTTGATAAATGATAGAGTGTGTATGATAGTATATCAAAGAGGAAAGAGGTGACAGCTGGAAACCATACTGGAAAAGAAATAAAATTGGAATTCTACATTTCATCATATACACAAATTAATAAATTCCATTTGAATAAGAATCTAAATGTGAAAAACTATTTAAATACTATGAATACTTATCTTAGGATTGAGAAGGATTTCTTGATAAGACACAAAGAGTTCCTCATAAAAGAAAAAACTCAAGAAAATTGCATTAAAATTAAAAACTATTGTTCATCAAAGCATACCATAAAAAAGTGAAAGTACAAGCCACAAACTAGGAGGAGATATATTCAATATATAAAACTTATAGCCATCATTTGAACTAAGGAGTTTGAGACCAGCTTGAGCAAGAGCGAGACCCCCGTCTCTACTAAAAAAACAGAAAAGAAATTAGCTGGAAAACTAAAAATATGTATAGAAAAAAAATTAGCTGGGCATGATGGTACAGGCCTGTAGTCCCAGCTATTCAGAAGGCTCAAGCAGAAGAATTGCTTGAGCCCAGGAGTTTTAGGTTGCTGTGAGCTAGGCTGGTGCTACAGCACTCTAGCCCAGGAGAGTGAGACTCTGTTTCAAAAAAAAAAAAAAAATTTATAGCCAATTGGTATATAGAATGTACACAAAACTACGAATCCTTGAGAAAAAAAGTTCAGTGGGAAAATGAGCAAACAAAATGAAACTTTAGAGATACTTTAGAGAAGAGAAAACATGTATGGTGAATAAACTTATGCAAAAACAATGTCCAATGTCCTTAATATAATCAGAAAAACACAGAAAGGGGCTTCATGAGATACCATTTTATAGCCAGTATATTAGCAAAAACTAGAAAGTCTGACAATTTCTTCATCAGTCAAGAAAATAAAAAACACACAGATAAGTTAACAAACAAATAATATAGGAAATTGGTTACAAGGTGTTGAAGGACAGAAAAAAAACAAAAGGAAACAGGGTAGCACAAAGTTACAGCAAGAAGCAGCTACAACCTTTTAGACTAGAGAAACAAAGGGAAGAGGTTGGGGTTATCATAACTTTGAAGCTGAAAGGAGAAGGCCTGGAGATTTGAGACCCAGACTTTTGCCTTGCTGGTGCTGTTCTTTACGAATATGCAGGAAGGATCTAAAGAGCGAGACTCAGAATTATGAGGATGAAGTTGCATT